ACAGAATCTGATTCAGAATCATCAGTGGTCGTTGTCTGTTCAATCCAGAGCTCTGAACTCGGTCAGCTGCCCGATCTAGAATCGCAAAACTATTTGTATTGTTCGAGTCATCTTGAGAGATGCTGTCGGTTCTCTGCACTTAACTCGGGCTGTAGGTGGGCTGCATGGCTGGTAATCACTGGAATCGATTCTGAGACATCAGGCGCGTCCGCCTTTCGAATCCAGAGCTCCAAACTCTGTCTGCTGCCCGAACTAGGTCTGCGAAACTATTCGTAATGTTCGAGTCATCCTGAGATGTGCTGTCGGTTTCCTGCACTTAACTCGGGCTGTAGGGGGGCTGCAGGGCTGTCCGAGACATCAGACGCGTCCGCCTGTCGCATGCAGAGGTCTGAACTCGGTCTGATACTCGAGCTAGGTTTGCCAAACTATTCGGATTGTTCGAGTCATCTCGAGAGCTGCTGTCGATTTACGCACGTATCTCGGGCTGTAGGAGAGCTGCAGAGCTCGCACATAAGATAATCCAAAAGCATCGGGGGCGTTCGGCTGTTGCATCCGCGAGGTTTGAAATTGCTTGGGCTGAAAAATTGTTTTTTCGGTGTATTTCTTTTCGACATTATATGTTGTCAGGAAGCTCTACGAGTTTTCCGGCGGTAAGAAAAGTTGACGGTTTACCGCCGGCGCCCAGTACAGAAAACCGAGAGCGCCTGTCAATATGACTCGAATAATACGAATAGGTTTGCGGACCTGCTTGTCAGGCAATAGGAAAGACTTCTTCTGGCGTCAGCTGAGTTCTCTAGCTGGCGTTCTTCTGTTCATCTGCAGAAGCTGGTATCAGATGAACAACGAAAAATGAGCAGCAGGAGGAGGAGCAGGAGGAGGAGCAGGAGGAGCAGCAGGAAGAGCAGCATAAGGAACAGCAGCAGAAACAGGAGGAGCAGGAGGAGGATCAGGACGCGGAGCAAGACGAGGAGCAGGAGAAGATGACAGGCAGTATTCGCAAGATACGATCTTCAGGCTGTCCTGGGCAGTCATGCGGCTGCGGAGCTCTACGGGGTCCACGGCGGTAGCCAGGTTGACGTATTACCGCCGGCGCCCAGTTGGCCCACCCGGCCTGGGCGGACAACGGAGTCGGTTTTTGGAGATTGTCAGAGATTTGACAATTCGTTTTGAAAATCCCAATTTTTATTCCGTGTAGTCGATCATGACATGTTCGATGGTGCAATTCTCAGGGCTGTAGCTGCAGCGCAGCTTCCGAAAAAATTAGAAGGAACCGTCGCCCGTCGGAATGTAGTTTTCCAGGTGGTAATGGATTCGTGAACTTAACTGAAGCAGGGAGCCATCTACACAGCTCCAGTATTTTCTGCATCTGTAGCAGGTCAAGGCGCGTCAGCCCGTCGAATTGTCAGGTTCGTAGCTGTACTACCACTACTACTACTACTACTACTACTACTACTACTACTACTACCACTACTACTACTACTACTACTACTACTACTACCACTACTACTACTACTACTACTACTACTACTACTACTACTACTACTACTACTACTACTACTACTACTACTACTACTACTACTACTACTACTACTACTACTACTACTACTACTACTACTACTACTACTACTACTACTACTACTACTACTACTACTACTACTACTACTACTACTACTACTACTACTACTACTACTACTACTACTACTACTACTACTACTACTACTACTACTACTACTACTACTACTACTACTACTACTACTACTACTACTACTACTACTACTACTACTACTACTACTACTACTACTACTACTACTACTACTACTACTACTACTACTACTACTACTACTACTACTACTACTACTACTACTACTACTACTACTACTACTAATTAAAGCACGTGGCGGAACCAACTTTGTACAATACTTAAAAAGTACATGCTTGCAGTTCTTTATTGATATTTAAGTAATATGTATCGTCGTTTTCAGAACATTACTTCGCGCGTCAAGAGCCCTACGAGGGTTCCGGCGGTAACCTGGTTGACGGTTTACCGCCGGCTCCCAGTCAGCATAACATCTACTTTTTTTGTTTTTTGTTTTTGTTTCTGTTTTTTTCCCCCCTCTCATTTTCCTTCTTCTTCCGCCAAGTGTTTTAATAGTAATACTGAAGCTGAAGACGTAGAAGTCGACAGGTCAACGCGTCATTTACTACAGGTGCAGAGGATGCTTGAGCTGTGTAGTTCGCTTCCTCCTTTCGTTAAGTTTACGAAACCATTATCATCTCGAAAACTGCATCCCGACGGCCGGTGGTTCTCCCTAATTTTCGAGAGATGCACTGCAGCTACAGCCCTGAGACTCGGCCTCTCGGGCCGACTTGCGGCCATCTTGGACGCCTTGTGTCTCGGGGCCATCTGGATTGGCGGCCTCTTGGAGCTTTCTTGGCCCGTCTTGCTTCCCCCTTGGGCCCCAAGAACTCACGCGGGGAGACGCGCTGGTGCTCAGAGGGCACGCGACAACCCCGGGAGATTCCCGACATTTTTTGTGTCCGGGCTCCTGAGTAACTCTTCGGAGCTGAGGACTGGGGCTCAGGGAGTTGTGCACCTGACCTGGGGACACGCCCACTCCTTGTCTAGTGGCACGGTGGAGGATGAATTCAGTGGATCTGGGATCAGTTTTTTTTTGTTTTTTTGTTTTTTGTTTTGTTTATTTTTTGTGTGTTCGTTATGTATAATGGATCCCACTAAGATCCAATCGACCTTTCCTGGGAGTGGAGTCTGCTCTATTCCTATTCAGATCTGATTTGAATCTTGTTTGATACCAGTCGGAGCTCCCTGGTTGCAGATTCCGCTACACTTCATGTGTATAGGAATCCTATCAGCATCCAGGTGGAACGCAATCGGGATCCACCGTATCTGGGGCCGCTATTTTAGTTAAGATCCGATTCGGATCTGATTCGAATCCTTTACATATCCTCTGAATCTGGAGGTCAGTCGCTGCCTGTTGAGCTCAAATGAGAATCCGATTCAAATCCAACTGGAATCCCTTAGTTATGTAGTCAGCTCCAGTCTGATTGAAATCCCATCCAAATGACCGAACAAGGCGCGAACGTAAAAGGGTTACCCGCGTATTTTGGGATTCCAGGGCTTTTCTTGCATATACATGCTGGCGTTTGTGTTGGCAACTCCCAGACACATTGCTACGTCGTCGGAAGTTTTCGATGTGATTTTCCGTTCCAAGGATGCAGGGAGAGATACGCTCGAATGAGCTTAGGGCTTGGAGCAACATCATGGTGGGTGGTTGCATTGAACTTTGTGTTTTTCTATGGTCGTTTTGTCAGCTGCCAGATGCCTTGGTTCGCCGTCGGGAGGTCTCGCTTCCCTTTTCCAACATGGGGTGCAACAGCAGAGGCGCTCGAAATAACAAAAGGCTAAATGCAAGTGCTGGTTTCAGGTTACCTCTCATTTATGCTGTTCTGGGTTTCTTTTCGCGCTTGCCGGAAACCTTGTTTCGCTGTCGAAAGGCTACGTTTCTATTTTCTTCAAGGGATGCTGCGACATTCGCGGGAGCGCAACAGGCTCACAATCAAGTTTTGGTTTGAGGGCACCTCTCGTTTATGATTGCCTCGCTTTGTTGTGGCACCTGCCAGACACCGTGCTTCGTCGTCGGAAGGTTTCGTTCAGACTCCCTTATGGGAGAACAGTGGCAGACGAGCCTGAAAGCGTATCATGCTCAAACTGAATTTTTGGTTTGAGATTACGCTGGGGTGGGTTTGTCTGGACACTTGCTAGATACCTTGCTTCATCGCCGGATGGTTTCGCTTCGGTTTCTGTGTAAGGCTACAGCGACGGACGCGCGCGAAAGAGCGACATGCAAAATACATTTGTTCCATAGTAAATTCATTCATGCTTCTATGCGCATGCTCGTTGCGTGTTAGACACCGTGCATTGTCGTCGGAAGCTTACGGTATGATTTCAGTGTAGGGGCGCAACGACAAAGGCGTGCGACAACGCAACATGCTCAAGTATATCTTTCGGTTTCAAGTTACCCGTCGTCTATGATTTTATGGGTACGTGATCTATGCGCGCGTGTGGCTACTCAGACTTCGCTTGATCCTGGAACGTGGGACTTAGATAGATCTGGGTCTCCGACCCTTCATCGATATCGGAGCAGCGACCTTCGAACGATCGTGGACTCTCGGCCCTATGTCCTCGATTCTCGGTCGATCCTGGAACTTTGATTTTCGATCGATCTTACTCCCTGGATCTTTGATTTCGACAGATCCTGAATTTTGGGGTTTCGACGGTTTCATGATCCTCGACCCTGGGTCTTTGATTTTTGGTCAGCCATGGGTCTTCGATCGGCCCTGGAAACTGGATTTCCGAAGTTCGACTTTTCCGTGGCCTTCGATCTTCGATGGATTTTGGATCGGCCCGCGATCAACATGACCCCAAGCTAGCATTTATGACCCCAGCCTCGGAGTAGGAGGAGGAGGAGGAGGAGGAGGAGGAGGAGGAGGAGGAGAAGGGGGAGGAGGAGGAGGAGGAGGAGGAGGAGGAGGACAAGGAGGAAGAGGAGGAGGGTGAGGACGAGGAGGAGGAGGCGGAGGAGGAGGAAGAGGAGGAGGAGGAGGAGGCGGAGGAGGAGGAGGTGGAGGACGAGGGGGAGGAGGAGGAGAAACACGACGACTACGTTCTACTGCCACGAGAGTGAGTTAGGACGAGGAGGAGGAGGAGGAGGAGGAGGAGGATGATGAGCAGGAGGAGGAGGATCATGACGACGACGTTCTACTGCCACGAGGGTGAGTGAGGAGGAGGAGGAGGAGCAGGAGGAGGAGGAGGAGGAGCAGGAGGAGGAGGAGCAGGAATAGGACGATGAGGAGTGGGGTAGAGGAGGATCAGGGTCACGGTGGCGCGGTGAGCACGGCCAGCACGGTGGGCTCGGTGGGCATGGTGGCACGGTGAGCATGGTGAACACGCCGCCCCGCGACGCCGCCTCGGTTCACCGCGCGGTCGGCGAAAAGTCCCCTCCCCGCAGCGGCGGCGGCGAGGGGCGCATTCGCGGCGCGCGCCGCGGTGGGCGGGGTGCGCCGCGCCCGCGTGTTCCTCTGCTGGCGGCTCTCGGCGATGAGGAGGAGAAAGAGGAGAAGGAGGACGAGGAGGTGGGGGATGAGGAGGAGGATGAGGAGGATGTTGATATTGATGATGATAATGATGCTTACATCGATGTTGTTGTCGTAGGTGGTGTTGTTGATGATAATGATGCTGATAATTCTGATGACGCTGATGATGATGATGATGATGATGATGATGACGATGATGATGCTGCTGCTGATGATCATGGCGATAATGATGATGATGCTAATGCTGATGGTAATATTGATGATGATGTTGATAATGGTTGTGGTGGTTGTGGTCATGATGATGATAATGGTGATCATGCTATTGCTGCTGATGATCATGTTTTCGATGATGATGACGACGATGATGATGAGGGTGATGTTGACTATGCTGACGACGATGCTGATGATGACGATGATGCTGATGATGATAATGGCGGTGATGACACTGTTGATGATGATGACGATGCTGCTGATGATGATAATGATTCTGATCATGTCGCTGCTGCTGATGTTTCGGATGCTGCTGCTGATGATATTGTTGCTGGATGCTGATGCTGATGATGATGATGCCGATGATGATGGTGATGATGATGATGATGATGATGAAGATGGTGACGACAGCGCTGACGATGATGCTGATGATGATCATGATGCTGATGCTGATGCTGAGGCTGATGATGATACAGCTGCTGCTGATGCTAATGGTGCTGATGATGCTGGTCATGTCGCTGATGCTGATGTTTCGGATGTTGCTGCTGTTGATGATGATATTGCTGCTGGATGCTGATGCTGATGCTGATGATGCTGAGGATGCTGATGATGATGAACATGATGATGATGATGATGATGATGATGATCATGATGATGACGATGATGACGACAACGCTGACGATGATGCTGCTGATGATCGTGATGACGACGATTACGATGATGTTGACGATGATGCTGATGCTGATGATGATCATAATGATGATGCTGATGCTGCTGATGGTGATGATGCTGATGCTGATGGTGGTGATGCTGATGCGGATGCTGATGCGCTGATGCTGATGCTGATGTCGCTGCTGGTGTTGCTGTTGTTCTGGATGATGCTGCTGATGGAAATGTTTTTGGCTATTATGCTGCTGCTGCAAATGATGCTGCTGCTGATGATGATGCCGATGATGATGATGATGATGATGATGCTGATGCTGATGATGATGACGATGCCGATACCGATGATGCTGATGCTGATGAGGATGATGATGACGATGCTGATGATGATGACGATGATGATGACGATGATGCTGCTGACGATGATCATTCTGATAATGATGATGATGCTAATGCTGACGCTGATGCTGATGATGATGATGTTGCTGATGACGATGCTGTTGATGATGATGATGGTCATGTTGCTGATAATGCTGACGTTGCTGCTGATGATGATCATGATGCTGATGCTGATGCTGATGCTGATGATGACGATGATGCTGGAGCTGATGCTGTTGATGCTAATGGTGCTGATGATGCTGATCATGATGATGTTGCTCATGATGCTGATGCTGATGCTGATGCTCACGACGATGCTGCTGATTCTGATGCTGTCGATGCTGCTGCTGCTGATGATGATGATGATGTCGACGACGACGATGACGATGACGATGTCGATGATGCTGATGCTGCTGCTGATGATGACGATGATGATGATGACGACGATGATGATGTTAGTGATGCTGATGGTGATGATGATAATTCTGATGATGATGATGATCTTGTTGATGACGATGATGATGATAATGATGGTGTTGGTGGTGGTGGTGATTCTGATGATGATGATGATGATGTTGACGATGACGATGTTGATGATGATAATGCTGATGTTGATGATGCGGATGGTGTGGATGATGATGATGATGCTGATGATGATGCTGAAGATGATGATGTCGACGATGATGATGTTGCTGATGCTGATGCTGATGCTGGTTCTGATGCTGATGATGCTGATGATGCTGTTGCTTGATTATTGTGATGATGATAGTGAAGGCTAACATGATGATTATGATGACGATGCTGATGCTGATGAGAAGTAGTATTATTAATCCAGTTATGTATGTATCATT